TCATTTGGCAGATGCTTTTATCCAAAGTGAGGATGCTATAAATTATTTTGACTTTACATAAAAGTACAAAAAATGGTATTGACAGAAACTATGATTACCATCGTGATTTCTTGTACATGGATGCATTTAATTACATATAATTCCTTTACGCCGGACAAAAGAAATTATAGCAAAAAAAACTTCTAAAATAAAATATTTCAGCATAACCTTGGTCTCTCTCCATCCTTACCATAATTTACCATGGTATCCACTGTCTCCACCGAATTACCATAAAATTACTGTTACCACTACAATAAAACTGTGGTAATTTTTTTTAAAGATTACGTATTAAATAATTTTACTTTACAGAAGTACACATTAACTATGAAATTTCGGCAGCAATTACAGTTTCCATGGTGATTTCTCCTACACAGATGCATTGAATTATGAATATTTTCCCCACCCACACACACACACAAAATAATAATAATACACTAACAAAAAATCTGAAATAAAATATCTATCCCTGACTTCTCGACATCCTTACCATAATTTACCGTGGTACCCACATTCTCTGCCAAAAGTTACTACGACAATAAAACTGGCTTTTGTTCCCAAAATTCATTTTAAAGAAGATCCCGTATTCAATTATTTCTACTTTACAGTAGTAAAAACTAACTGAGATTTCGGCAGAAACTACGGTTACCATGGTGATTTCTCGTACATGGAAGAATATTTTCCCCGCCCACACACATATTTGTTTTATTTTACACAAATAGCGATGTCTAAAAAGCTGAAATAAAATATCTACAGCATAGTTTACAGACTTTTCTCCATCCCTACCATGATTTACCTTGGTAACCACTGTCTACGCCAAAAAACACGAATATTATCGCTACTACTACAACCATAAATCTGTGGCAACCAGCACAGTAGCTACATCGTAACTCTGACGCATTTGGGCGGAAAGTACGGTTACCATGGTTATTTCTCGTACACAGACGCGTTGAAATAAAATATCTATCCCTGACTTCTCTATATCCTTCCCATAATTTACCGTGGTAACCACTTTCCATTTTTTTTTTAAATACGAAAACGGGTTCTATTATTTCGACTTTACAGACTTTACTTTTCTGTAACAGAAGTAAAAACTAACTGACATTTCGGCAGAAATTACGGTTTCCATGGTGATTTCACGTACACTGAAGAATATTTTCCCCGCCTGCACACACACACACACATTTGTTTTTTACACAAATACTGCTGTCTAAAACGCTGAAATAAAACATCTCCAGCATAGCCCTGACTTCTCTCCATCCTTACAATGATTAACCACTGTCTCTGTCCAAAAAAAAAACAAGAATATAATCGTTAAGTTACTTCTACGATAAATCTGTGGCAACAGCACAGTAACTAAGTCGTAACTCTGCCATATTTGGGCGGTAAGTACGGTTACCATGGCGATTGTTCGTACGTAGACGCGTTGAATTACCTGTACGCTGCCACGGCGCGGCTGTTGAGGTACTTCTGCGCGGTCATGACGCCCACGAACAGGAAACTGCTGGACCGGGGCACCGCGGGCTTCTCCGCGCCGGGCATCAGCGCCGCTCCGTACTCCTTCTTCATCATCATCATCATCCCCGCTCCTCCTCCGCAGCCGCCCGTGCCTCCGCCGCTCGCCCGCCGCTTGTGACCCGCTTTCTTCAGTTCGGTGGCCCGGGGCAGGATGAGCCTGGACGCCAGTGTGAACCCGACCACCAGCCCCAGCAGCACGCTGAACCACGACCTGCGGCTTCTGCCTGCCATTTCAGCGTACGCTCACACCTCCGGTTCGCTCGGGGTTTTAAAGTCTTCACGCCTTCGTGTTTTTTAAACGCCACCCGCTGCTGCAGTCCCGTCCAGAAGGCTGGGTTTGGGTCCGAGCATGGTCACCGCTGATCACCGTTTACCGCCGCTGCTGAGTACGTTGCAGCGCTCCAATCCCCGTAGATCACCAGCCACTGCCATCTAATCGCCGACTATCCGCTCCTCGCGAGCCACGATCGGCTTCGTGAACGTATCTCCGTCGCTTCGCGCCTGAATCGGTGATAAATCAGGGAAAATTAACGGTCTGCTGTCATAAGAAGTGCGGCTGCATCCTCGTTCTCGCGACTATCTTGCCATTGTGAGTGAGCGCTAGAAACGCGTCTGCGGCGACTTGGCTTAACCGTCAAGGGTTTTTGACACGCTGGAGGCGCCGTAGCTCGTCGCTGATTGGCCGAGCGGAGTGGCTGCGCACAGTTGGCTGTAGTGATGGGAAGTTCGGTTCTTTTCCGCGAACCGGTTCTTTCGGACAGTTCGATTCAATAAACCGGTTGAAAAAACCGGTTCACCGGTTCTTTTACGCTCGACGTAATGACGTCATTGGCGATGACGTAATGGCGTCAAGTCTATCGCGGGCTTAACACATTCAAATATAAAGTCAGTAATCATAACATCAGTCAATTAAAACATCATTATAATCTGATACGTTTCTTACAATTTGGATTTTTGTATCTAAAGCATCAACACATATACAGGCAGTGATCTGCAAACTAGGATGTTTTACAGTTATGACGTCAATAAATTAGTCTTCATCAGCGCAGAAACTATGCTCCTAAGGGAAAATGTATGTCCTGACAGAAAAGTATCAGTACATTTTACTTTTTTACTTTTTATTTTATTTTTTTTTTTCCAAGCATAATCATATGCTACAGTTACACAAATATCCTTAAATGTAACATTTACTTAAATATGCCTTGATGAAGGAAACCATAAAATATTTGAATTCTAATTGGTTAATGGAAGTTTTTGCTGTGAACGTGACTACTAAATATAGGCTATAACTGCTTCAAAGTAGCTAACACTACTGTTTACATGTAGTAATATGAAAGATAATAAGCAAAAGAAATGTAATAAATCTTCATTATGTTATGTGCAGGAAAAAAACACGAACTTCTGCGGAGAGTAATGTTCGCATAGTAGGTGGCGGTAATGCACCTTAACGTTGGATGCCACCCGCCATAAAACATGAAGAAGAAGAAGAGTAATGTTCGCGCTGCGCTGTTGTAACTGATCAGCGCCGCGCTGTCAGTTCGGTGGCGCTAGTAAACACGTCCTCTCTGCGCTGTCGAGTCGGCCGCGCCGCTCGGTCCATTGAGCCGCGCCTATGACAGGTCAGCGCGGCGCGAACACTTGAATACCGCGCCGTTTCGTCCCACATTTGAGTTGTTTGGCTTCCCATAGATGACGTTCCATGCATGGGAAAAGCGTTGTGTCTTTTTCGCGTGAACAGAAACTTATTTTGTAAGATTCACCAGGAAACTCTAATCAGTTTTATTTATTTGGAAAAAAATCTGTTGTTTATTTACAAAAAAAAATACAATGGAATTTGATTTAATAAATCGTATTATGCATGTAATAAAAGTAAATTTGTCAAACCAGAAGCCACTTTTCTATTTGCTTTTACAGAATTAGCGAAGAACTTTAAAACTAGATTTAAGTCTCAGAGTAAAACGTTGTTGATTATGCACATTTACTTCTGAAGAGAACTAAATATAAAATAAACAAATAAAATGAAAAAATAAAGAAAGATTTTAAAAAAGAAAACAGGCTATAAAACTGGACAAAAGAAATGTTTTGTATCTATGAATTATTTTGGAGTAACCTGTTCAACATTTTCAGAGGTATTCATCTGTTTTTAGGTGCAACCTGCATTTTCTGTTTCCTCACAAAATGTTTATTTCTCTTGCCCATCTCTCAAAAAGCTATACAAAAAAATTAAATATATTTATTTTAATTATTAATAAAATCTAGCAATCACTTCGAGGCTTATTTAAATATTTTCTCACCATAATTATATTTGGATACTGCAATAAAATAAGTTTAATTAGATCACGCTCAGTTTTTTATATGTAAAATTCAATATAATTTTTAAAAATTCAATATAATATAATAATTCTATATTTATATTTCATATTTAATAGTCAGATGATGATTTCCTAATCCTAATTCTATAATTTTGTAACGGAATTCCTCCCTTTTATAGAACTGTGACGGAAACCGTTATGTTCTAAATCACGTGCTAATCTCGCCACCTAGTGGATAAAGTGTGTCCTCGCGAGATTATAGTTTGTATTTTAGTCGGGTCCTTCCTCTTCTGCGGTGTTTTCATGTCGCAACGCATATGGATAAAATATTAAACAGACAAGATGGATATATTACTTTTTTTTTATTATTACGATGTCATAATTAACTGAGCATTAGGGTGAATTTGAATAATTTCACAACACTGCATCGATTTTATTTTTGCCTTCTTCTACTAAATTACTTTTGTTATTTTAGTATCAAGATAATATTGTTTATATATATATATAATATATATAATATATATATATATATATATATATATAATTTCGTTTTTGTCACTTGTATTCATTTTTTTTAAAAAGATGTTTAGTTTTTATTAATATATATTTTATATAAATTATTAATAATTTATTAATATAGTTTTTATTATTTTTATTAATACATTTGCTCCTTTTTATTATTTTATTTTAAAATAAATGAAAATGAAGTGTTGCTTCAAAAAAAGTTTTATTTTTCATATTTTATATTATTTCTGTTTTTTTAAGTTAGTTAATGAAAATATATTTTTTAAATGGTTTTAGTTAACTATAATAACCTTGCTATCATGAAATACTAAAAATCTGTAATGCGTTTAGAAAAAAAAAGTTTTTTCTTTATGTCCTAAAAATCACTTTCCTATTTCCTATGTATTAAAAAGTATACATTGTTAATTTGATGGTCCTGAAACGGAGGATAATACAGTGAATTGTGTTGGCCTGACAAATAAGACACAGACAAACATTGAGCAAGTATGCATTTTTATTCTGAGAAACTATAAAGCGAGAACTTGCTGTTTGCTGTTTCCTTAGGAATGACGGGTCAAAGGCATTGCCTTTGACACGTCATTCCTAAGGAAACAGCAAAGACCTCACACCACATACAGCAGGCTGCTATTATACATCACTAACCACAGCATCGATGGATCTGTCACAAACCTGCTTTTACAACAGAATACAAACATTTCAATGATATAAACTTAGCACTTTGCATTTGTATTTACTCTCTCTAGGTGTTTATTTAGCACAGCCTTCATAAGTGCAAAAAGCTAAAACCAGGAACACGATTATTACTGAAAATCATCAGCCCGCCCCAGGAGTATTAATACCTTTGATGAGGAGGCGTCATTAGAAGCTGTCAATCATACAAACAGGCAATAGCGTCTTAATCATAATGTGCATGAAAGTGTTTAAAACACACAAGTTAAAAGAACAGTCAAAAATACACATTTTGTCCTTGACTCACCCTCATGTCATTCTGACTGCAAATGCACCAAAAAAAGTTTACTGAAAAAACTATTGCACTGAAAAAATAACAGCATACAGGATTGGAACGACAGGAGTGTGTGTAAAAAGACAATGCACAAGTCAATTAGCCTGTCACCAGAAAAACATGAAAGTGTGCATGAAGACCCTTGTGTAATATAACCATATTTGCTATTGTCCTGTGATGAGAGAATGATAGCTTCATTCAGATAATATTTGTGTGTTCCTATGGAGGGTCAAAGGGTCAGAGGTCAGTCTGACCGCACTTTAACCTCATCCACCCGCAGACGGGCCTCTCCTGCCGGGTCTCCAGGAGCACGTTCCTCCTCCGTCTCCAGACAGAGGACTGTATCCTACAACACACACACACACACACGCACACACACACACACACACACACACACACACACACACACGCTTTAGTCAAACAAAAACAGCAACATATACATACATATACTTCAAAATGTGATTCATTATTATAATTTATTTTTATAACAATATTAAATTAAATAAAGAAAGTACAGTAAAAATAAAGATGTTTGACTTTCATGAGCTGTAAGCTCTAATCATCAAAATGAAAACAAAAAACTTCTGAAATGTTTTACTTTACATGTAATGAATCTAGAATATATGAAAGTTTCACTTTTTGAAATAAGTTACAAAAAAATAAAAACTTTTTCACGATATTCAAATTTTTTGAGATGCACCTGTGTGTGTATGTGTGTGTGTGTATATATATATATATATATATATGATTAAATGAAAACCTCATAATACTCCTATATAATCATACATATCTAATTTCATATTTATTTGGCAATATTGTTTTCAAATGTTTTAAAACACAAAGAAACGTTCATATTTAAATATCACTGCAATATCAACTGACAACCAGGATAATTTTCTCCTGTGAAATATTGGCCTAATCTGAAAAATGTGTTATTATTTGGGTTAGTGACCTCAAAAAATGTTTGCATCATGTAGAAAGTCTTACAGGTTTGGAGTGACACGAGGGAGAGTAAATCATGGCAATTTTGCTCTTTTTTTCATTTATTTTTTAATATATATATATATATATTTTTTTTTGTACTGTATTTTCTTTGTTTAATTTTCTATAGTTATAGAAGCAAACAACCAAAAGTGTTTTAAAACACAAGAAACAGGAATGAATACCACTGCAATATACATGAACAACCAGAATAATTGTCCCCTGTGAAATATTGGGCTAAAAGTGTAAAATAGGTTGATTTATTGGGTTAATGCACTCAAACTGAAAATGATTGCCTCATTTACAAAGTCATACAGGACTGGAATGACATGAGCGTGAGTAAATCATGACAATTTTCATTTTAATAGAGTTTTCATTCACTAAAATATAGATTTATACTTTGAAATTAAAAGCATAAAACATGCTTTATTTTTCATATTTTCATTCTATATTTGTACTGTATTTCATGTAACTAATTTTGTATAATTATATAAATGACCACCAAAAAATGAAAACAAATTTTAATGGAGTTAACCATTAGTATAATCACAAGAGCAAATGTAACGCTTGCGTACCACTGTTGCGAAGGGGCTTTTTGTCTGTCTTTGGTCTCAGTGAGCTGGAGGAAGTGGCCTCTTCTGTGCTCTGCTGGAAATGAGAAATAATATGTAAACGCAGCACCTGACGCCTGAGGCCTGGAGACATAAGTCACGGGAGACTCACTTGTGCCTTTCCCTTGTAACTCTTTCCCTCCTTCATGCTATCCCACATCTCGATTTTCTGTCTTCTCTTGTCTTCCTCCAACTAAACAGATGAGAGGAAGCAGCATGAGTACAGAAAGACAAACGTCCGCGGCCTGCAGCGTGACACTCACCCTCTGCTGCCTCTCTCTGAGCTCTGCCGCTCGAGTGTCCTGCTCCTCCTGCATTCTCCTGCGGGACGCCTCCAGAGCCGCCTGACGCCTCACCACGGAGTCCGGGTCTGCAGACGGGACACACACACACCTCTGCTATCACACACACATCTCTAACACCTCAGTCTGCAGACAGCAGTCACTGTGGGTTCTGACCTTGGCTGCTGGTGGAGACGGGCGAGCTCTGGCTGTCTGTGGATCTGTTCTTGCGGAGATGCTGGAGGAGCAGATACACTCCCACACACGCGAACGCCGCATACCAGCCATACTCAGACAGGAAAGCTGTCACTGGTGACAAAAAATATCACACTTTCACAATCCAGGCACTGCAAAGTCTATATGCACTTTATGAAAACATGATAAATAGACTGCAATACAATTGATTATTGTTCGTAACTGTATCAGTAACAAATTTAATGAATAGCATAAATATTACATTATGAAACATTCAAATAGTCGAAAATATCATGAAAATTATTAGTGCTGTCAAACAATTAATCGCATCCAAAATAAAAGTAGTTTTTGTTTACATAATATATATGTGTGTGTATTTATTATGTATATGTCAATACATACACATTCATGTGTATATTTAAGAAAAATATGTTACGTTTATATATTAAACATATTTATATATGATATAAATTATATGAATATAAATATATAAAAATATATGCTGCATGTGTGTGTATTTATATATACATTTATATATACATAATAAATATACACAATACACACACATATGTTATGTAAACAAAAACTTTCATTGGGTGCAATTAATCGCGATTAATCGTTTGACAGCACTAAAAATTATAAATATATATCTATATCCATATCTTTATTATTATTATATTACTGTATTATTAACTATTATAATAACATTAATATTATAAGACATTATGAAACATTCCATTAGTCAAAAATGTCATGAAGCTTTTATATTACATATATATATATATATATATATGTGTGTGTGTGTGTGTGGTTGTATTACTCATTTAGCAGATGTGAAAAACTACAAAAGTTCTAAATCAATTGGCTGAATAATCAAATAATAAAACAATAAATACAAATTATTATTATTATTAAAATTAATAATAGACAGATAAGAAGAATCTACTTATTTATATTTGCTGTATTTCTCATTACATTGTATGTTTAACAACTTTTATAAATACCATTAAATATGCTAATTTGTTTTTAATATGCTAATAATGTTTTAAAATTAAAAGTATACAATGTGCTTCAAATTTAATGAAAATATTAAAGTTTGTATGTTATGGAAAATATTTTTAAATCCCTAAATCTCCTGAAATGCCAGAATAACATTGCATCAGCCAAAATATCCAAAGTATTTCTTATTTTAACGAAAGAATTACACTTTTCAAACAAAAAGAGGACTGCTCATTTACTGATACATTAAGCATTGTTTAATGTTTGATAATGGCTTGTTAAAGATATAAGATAGTGTAACTAATGTATCTTATTGACTCACAAACTGTACAGTGTAACTAATCGTATTGACCTATAAAGCGTTCGGTGTGTTCTAGTCATTTCCTGATCAGACCCGCATTACTGCGCTCTAAAATATCAAATCAGTGTCCTTTAATAAGCCACAGTCACAGATTAGATATCATTAATAGAGATGCGAGTCCTGATGAACGCTGACAGCTCAGTAAACGCAGTAAACTCGTGTTTACATACCAGCTGGCAGCAGAAAACTCAGATCCTGGTTCTGGGGAGGAACTTCTTCATTTCGGACACGCGCACCATCTTGCGCCTCCATACTAAAACGCCTTTAAGATGTTTTTTTTTTTAATGTTATTATGAGAGTATACAATAATTAGCGCATTTTTATTCCGTTGAGCTCCACTCAAGCTACCCTGATTCACACAAACAACACTGGCTCACTTCCGCATTCACCACACAGCCAATCAGCTTTAAGATGACGTGGAGGCGCGAGCTGCTGCTTTATGCCGAGTTCACACTGCACGATTTTCAAACTCGTTAGATCGCCGTTTTCACACTGCGTGACTATCTGGGGTAGCATTCAGTTGCTGCCAGGGTTCCCACTCTTTCATGAACACCAGATTCAAGGACTTTTTAAAGCACCATTTATTTTATATCAAGCACCTATCAAATTCACACCCCAGCATATGTAGTGTCATGAAAGACCTTACAGTACTTAACATTTCACTTACACTTAACATTTACATTAAAGATTTCAGAGTAATAATGTTTTGAATGTGTAGGTTTCACGTGTAGTCGTGTTCAAAGGAATTTAATGAAATCCATTGAAGTCAGTACTGGTAATATTCAAATTAAATTTCTATTCTGGAAGATAAATTCTTCAAACAGTGGTACAAGAGGATTTGGTGCTGGTCCTTCAAGAGTCACTCTCAACTTATCTGTCCATAAAGCCTATAAAAATAGTCTTCATGTATTTCACAACACTTCAGAATGTTATTCTTATTTAGTAGGGGTAATTTTTTAGGATTTTTTACCCAAGCAAAGTCTTTGAAAACCTGTCACCTTGTAATTCTGGATACTCAAGGTTGCAGTTCTGGAAAATAGTGGCACTGGAGACTAAAAGGTTCCTGATGGTTTCACACTTAATTCTTCACATTAATTATTAATTCTTTTGCTGTTAACATGCTCTTTTCTTCTCCACCTGTTTTTTTCTGACCCCGCTGACCCAATGAGCATTTTGCTGTCCAATGGTCATGCTTTTGAAATTTCTGTATTGCATTAGTTTTTAATATTTCTCATGGGGATTTAATCATTGTTGACTTCTCAGTCTGAGTTAAATCTCTTTTTTGGCTCGTTTCATCCGTAAAAGAAAACCTGCCTAATAATTCTGCACACCTTAATAAGCAGTTTTTTATTTCCAGCCTTCATGTACACTTATATATCACTTCTAAATGATTAAATACAAAAATAATAGTAGTTATTAAGATTGATGTGCCCATCTCCACCCCCAATCATTAGTGCCGTTCTGTCTTTGACAGAACATATAGGACAATTTTTGAAATAGCGCCATAAACAGGGGTTAAAGCAAAAAAATATATATCTTTTGACTGAAAATTTTTCCTCAGCCAAACCCCATTCCACAGCCATACCTATCACACACAGTTTAAAAGCATTTTTTTTTCTTCTTGTAATTAGGAGCGCTTGTCCTCCTAATTAAAAAAATTTAGGAGCACCTTCTGATCAATAATAAATTCTGATCAAAAATTAGCCTTCCTAATACGAGGTAACATTTGACTCAAAGTGACTTACAGGGGTATTTTCTTATTTATTTGTACAGAGGTGGCACAGGTACATTTTCAGACGTTTAATGAGGCTCAGAGGTGGCATGAGTGCAATTAAATTCATACATTTATGTGGAGATTAATGTTTTAAATATAAAATTTTGAATACAGATATATTAAATGATTTAAATAACTGAAATGATACGCTAAAAATGGAACTAAATCCGCCAGCAGGTGGCGACAAGTCACTGATTTTATCACTGAATCAATTGATTCGTTCGAAAGGCTGATTCATTCAGGAATGAAGCAAGTGACAGTATTTATGAATGGGTAATCATGAATCACTGACTCACTAGATTCGTTCAAAAACGCACTTTCATTGAATGAATGAAACTCAGCTGTGTTTGCTTTTAGAGATGCGAAG